TGTCGTTGTATTTATTCAAGGCAATATTACGGGAAATTCAAGATCACTGGAGAAAGAATTAATGTTTTGTTGCATTCATTTATATGTAATCGAGAATATCTGTAAGCTCAGTCATACTTGATACAGAGATTACTTGTGATAAAAAGGTTTTTTTTACGGTTTTGACTCAGAAAATAGTATTTTTTCATTCTTACTTTATTTGTTAAAGTTCATACTTGATATAAATTGCTTATAGTCCGCCGGTTTTTAGATGACTTAAAATAAGATCATTTTAACAAATTCAGGGCCAATGACAGAAAAGTTGTAGAACACCTGTCAGAGTTATGAATTTCTAAAAGTTGTTTCAGATTGAGGGTTTGTCTTGACAAAGAGCCAAGGTTATTCTGTTAAAATCAAGGTCACTGACAGAAGAAATCTGTTCTTTTCCAGGCTATGAACTAGTAAGTGAAAATCATTGGAGACTATTACTTGAAACATAGATTACTTATGATTGGAGGTTGTGTCATGTCATCCTGATCAAATGTCTTTCTGGCAAATCAAGGTCATTGAGAGAGAAAAAATTTTTAAGCATAAATTTGTAATTAAGATTCACTGGAGGCTCATGATGAGAAGAAAAGGTTGTTAACATGAGAAAGTGCAGTGACCTTGACCCAAGGTCAGTACTTCCTGTCCACAGCTCCAACGGAAGACCTACTCGTTGCTTTGCAACGAGCTCGGCTCTAGATCTCTTTCTTTTTCGATGATAGACTTTTGTGTTTTTATCTATAATTAATTTATTTTCAATCATGATTTCATATTGACAATTCGAAAATTTTGGAATAACAGAAACTCAATCACATTACATCAATCTAAAAGCCGAACTCAGTGTAGAAATATATATTAATGTGCTAAGATCCACAAATAAAATTGTTTATATTTTGATTAATAAATCAATTCAAGACTTTTGAAAATGTTCAACAAAATACTAGTAAATACCTTTACAAGTCCAAACAAATTTTGAAAAAAATAAAGGCTAAATATTTAATATTTTCATCACATTATCAAGAGCGTCGATAGCGTAATGGATAAGGCGTTAGCTTTTCAACCCTAATGTCATGAGATCGCGCCCAGATTGTGGCGTTTTTTTTTTTAATTTTTGGATTTCGAATTTCGTTCTTTTTCATTATTTTTACCAAATCAAGATATAAGCGAACTCTACATTTATAATATTGAAAACAAATCACTATAAAAATAATTTTTCACCCATATAAACAATATTATCGACTGCGTAATGTGACTTAATGGTGGCTTAATGGTGGCTTAATGGTAGCTTAATGGTAGCTTAATGGAGTTTGGACATTAAGCACCTGTAAGTCTAGCTTAAAGGTAGCTTAATGGTGACTTAATGGTGGTCTAAAAGTTACCATTAAGGACCTGTAAGCCACCATTAAGCTACCATTAAGCTACATTTAAGCACCCTTTAAGGGCTTTGAGTTGGCTTAATAGTAACTTAATGGTGGTGTAAATGTTACTTAAAGGTGCTTAAAGGTGACTTAATGGTGACTTAAAGACAACCATTAAACCACCATTAAGGACCTATAAGCCACCATTAAGCCGGACTTAAAGGGTGTGTTTCATCTTGTGAACAGCTTGATCTCTGGACAAAAGTTGTTATGATGATATTGAGACAACAAAAGCCAATTACCTCATAATCAATTCCAAAAATAACTTAATGGCTTTTTACCATTAAAATGATAATTACTTAATGAATTAATAACCTTAAAGTTATAACTATAGTAAATAAAAATTCCAAAGTTATTACTATAGTAAATCAAAGTTCCAAAGTTTTCACCATAGTAATTCAAAGTTTCAATATTATAACTATAGTAAATCAAAGTTTCACAGTAATTACTATAATAAATTGAAGTTCCAAAGTTTTCACCATAGTAAATAAAAGTTCCAAAGTTTTTACTTTGGTACCATAGTTAACTATAGTAAACTATGGTATTCCTTGTTAGGGCTATACCGAAGTCAGATATATAACTTTAGTCATACAACGCTACACTTTGTCGATTCGAAGTGTATATTTTCAAGCAAGATTTGCGATAATGCAGTGGATACGATAATAGTCTGAAAAAAGACTTTGAAGAGACGTTTTATGCTTCTATACACATATTAGAATTTATTATGAGCGATGTCGGAACCTACTTTTAACACTATTTTAATAAAATAACTTATAATTATTCACATTCGCTGCTATATTAATCACAGAATCAAAGTAAATAGTGGAATGGACAATCCCTCTTACTCACAATTTTGTTCTACCTCATGATTTATTCGGATAAAAAAGAGAGAAAACGTCGAAGAAGTGATTTTTGATTAGGGCACACATTTCACGAAAAAAGTGATATTAAACGAACTCTATTGACAAAAGTAGTCTTCATGTATTGACTCCCAAATTTGTTGTGATTTGAATCAAATTAAATAAAACTAAAAATATACCTGACAAAAGGTAAAAAGACTTAAAATGTCAGGATCCAATTTCGGAAAATCAAATTTTGCTTATATCCTTCCTTAATGCATATCTTTTAAACACTTGTTCATAAACAATGGGTTTAAGGTTCATTTAATCCTATCCTGTCAAAAAGTGTTAATCAGAATTTCGTAGGTGAACTTCGGGTAAACAACACAATATTAATAAATTTCAAACTACAATTGTTCTTTTTTTGTACAATGTAGTCTAATACTTCTCTTGTTTTTATATTTTATAGATTATGCATGATTTAAAACATCTGTCTTTTTTTCTTTTATAGGTGTCCAGTGTTCATGGATGTGCATATAATGTCTAATGGTAGGAGTTTTGAAAAGATGCAATTTTATTTATGAAGAAAAAAAAAGTTAAGTCAGGAGGCTCTGGGTTAATATCAGATATAATTATTTTTAGATATGATATCTTAAGCTGTCGGAAATGATTTAGCAAAAGAAAAAACAAACATTATAGTTTCATTTTTGTTTGTGTGTGTGTGTATCTTTACATGAAGCTCTTCTAGATCTGATAAAAGAGAACAAATTAGTTTTAAAAAAAACAAAAACAAAAAACAAAAAAAAAACACAATCATCAAGAACTCTTAAAGAAATTATTTTGATTATGTAGGTACGTTTAAGCAATGAATTATTATTGTTTGAAAGATCTAATCTTTCTAATAAATGCAACTTTGTTTCCAAAAAAATTAAATAATGCGCTTAGCGTATTAACATGAAACAAAACATGAAACAAAAATGTCATCTTTAACCTTTTGACCTCTTTTCCGCTTAATGAGGTTTTGAGTGACGTAAATTCCAACATCCTTTCTAGTCAGAATACATGTGTCACGCATTCTGAATTTAAAGTACTAAATCGACTTTGGGATAAGTCAAAAAATTTTGTGATCTGAAACTAACATTTTTATATGTCATTTGAAACATGAAGGTGTATATTTTTTAAAAATCACAATTTGATTTACATACTTCATGCTGTGTTTTGTTGACCTCCTTAGAAATGAATGCGGTTCGAGGGCTTATTTTACACCAAGATATTTACATGATGTTGAAAAGCCATATGTGGAAACGAAAGAATTTTTTGAAAAATACAAAATTATGGCATGTCAAACGTTGCAATATTTGATAATCTTGTGATGTATATTCAAAATCTTGTGATGTATGTTCGAAATCTTGTGATGTATATTCAAAATCTTGTGATGTATGTTCGAAATCTTGTGATGTATATTCAAAATCTTGTGATGTATATTCAAAATCTTGTGATGTATGTTCGAAATCTTGTGATGTATATTCAAAATCTTGTGATGTATGTTCGAAATCTTGTGATGTATATTCAAAATCTTGTGATGTATGTTCGAAATCTTGTGATGTATATTCAAAATCTTGTGATGTATGTTCAAAATCTTGTGATGTATATTCAATATCTTGTGATGTATATTCTAAAACTTGTGATGTATATTCTATAATCTTGTGATGTATGTTCGAAATCTTGTGATGTATATTCTATAATCTTGTGATGTATATTCAATATCTTGTGATGTATGTTCAAAATCTTGTGATGTATATTCAATATCTTGTGATGTATATTCGAAATCTTGTGATGTATATTCTATAATCTTGTGATGTATGTTCGAAATCTTGTGATGTATATTCGAAATCTTGTGATGTATATTCAATATCTTGTGATGTATGTTCAAAATCTTGTGATGTATATTCAATATCTTGTGATGTATATTCGAAATCTTGTGATGTATATTCTATAATCTTGTGATGTATGTTCGAAATCTTGTGATGTATATTCGAAATCTTGTGATGTATGTTCAAAATCTTGTGATGTATATTCTATATCTTGTGATGTATATTCGAAATCTTGTGATGTATATTCTATAATCTTGTGATGTATGTTCGAAATCTTGTGATGTATATTCGAAATCTTGTGATGTATATTCAATATCTTGTGATGTATGTTCAAAATCTTGTGATGTATATTCAATATCTTGTGATGTATATTCGAAATCTTGTGATGTATATTCTATAATCTTGTGATGTATGTTCGAAATCTTGTGATGTATATTCGAAATCTTGTGATGTATGTTCAATAATCTTGTGATGTATATTCGAAATCTTGTGATGTATATTCAATATCTTGTGATGTATATTCGAAATCTTGTGATGTATATTCTATAATCTTGTGATGTATGTTCGAAATCTTGTGATGTATATTCGAAATCTTGTGATGTATGTTCGATAATCTTGTGATGTATATTCGAAATCTTGTGATGTGTGTTCTACAATTCAGTGATGCGTGGCAGGACCGGGAATCGAACCCGGGACCCCTATATCACTAGTCAGGTGCTCTACCTACTGAGCTATCCAGGCCGATATCCACGCCCCTAACCATTACACGTGCAATAAAATTGCATGACGCAACAGAAAAGTAAGGACAATTTTCATTGGTTAGAAATAACGAAAGTAGCCGGAGCGTCGTAATGCACACATTGACACAACTTCGCAAGCATGAAATTGGCGAATTCAACCTAAAGTCAAAATTATAGGTAATAGAAAAATTGTTTTGGTATCAAGAAGCACTAAGTCAGTCATAACGTGAAAAGTGGGAATCAAGAACATTAATTTGATTTGTTTGAAGGTACATCAAAAACAATTTAGTGGCTTATTCAGTTATTGCTGGACTAAAGGATGTTTTATCCTATTTTTACGTCCTCATATTGTAGTGATGTTGATTAATCGGTATGATTTATTCTATATTGGTGCTAGTTAGAATAATCTAACTGTGTCTCGGGACAAACTCTCACCACGCAGGGTTCGAAATTGCATGGCCCAATGCAGCTGCATTGACCGTAGCACTAGTCCAGGGACGACTTTGCAATAAATAAATAAATAACACGACAAATTTTTAGGAGAAGGTGAATGTCAGGAAAAGATTAATTGCTATGCATCATTGCATTCACAAATTTGTCCAATTATTTTCATAGTAAATGTATTGAGCCGGGCTCATTTACAGGATAATGAACAAGGACTGTGGTGACAGTTTAAAATCACGTTCAGACGTTTAGAGAATATGTAATACACACAAAAATATCTCAATGGCATGTATAATATTAAATAGTTTTAAAAATAAAATAAAATATAGCTAGAAATTAATAGCGAAAAATATTTATCACGTATCGTTTTGGGGTAATCCGGTTTTATATACAAACAGAAGTAAATAAACACTGATGCAGCAAGATTAAGGTCAAACGTCTCTGCACTGATGTCCTCAGCGGTGAGATTTGCATCAAGTCATTAATGATGTTCCCTGCATTTGTTTTAGCCTGATAGTACAACCTTTATTTATAGAATCAATCTAATTCAAATTAGATGTTAGATCCGCTTGCATACTCGCTACACTAACATCTAACAACATCCCGTTGAGGGTCACGTCAGAGGTCAAATTCTATCAATTAATCAAATCGCAGCTGGCAAAATCATCATATATTGTTGAAGCAAATAAATCTTGAGGCGTTCCGAATTTAACCTCTTACGTGACCCTCAATGGGTCATTTGGGATGACTTGTTAGATGTTAATGTGTTGAATATGCGAGCCGATCTACAATCTAATTTTAATTATATTGTTTATAGAATATGATGCAGACAGGGATACCTGGTGAAAACCTTTCGCACCCGTTGAATTACTTTGTAAAATATTAGTCAAAGGAGCCAGGAAAAAATATTAAACAATTTAATATTATGATAAAAATATTCAATTTACTATTTCTTAAGGTGATTTTGTTTTCTCAACAGCGGCTGGTCACGTACCATACTTTTACTCGTAAACTCAATTTGGCGGTGAAGAAGCAGCATTTTCTGTTGCTCACCGTCGCTATAGCTGAGCATTGCTCTACGAGCAATGTGCCCGGCTAAAAATCATAATATTTGTAATGATATATCATATTCTAGACTTGACATACAATAAACAATGATAAGAATTATTGTCGCATATCTGCAGTGATTTTCTTTGATCTTTCTGTGGTGATAATTTATCCCATATCACATGTGTGATAATACTTTCCAAACATGTTTCAAAGTTTTTACACTCTTTATCATACAGTTTTAAAGGACAGTTTTATGAGCTCATAAGTATATTAAATGGTTAATTTATCAAAACCTGCATTTAAAAATTCAGAAGTCTTAAGTTAAACCAAATTGTCCAGGGTATTCTTAAAGGTATGTCAAAGGTCATGGTTAAGTGACTTTGTAAGGCTGGTATTTTTTCTTTAGTTTTATGGCAATCAGTGCACATGGTAAATATCATAAAATTACCCCTTAAAGGTCTTATGCAAGGAGATAGCCAATCAAAATGAACAAATGTAGTTCTATGTATGATGTATATAGAGACAATAATATTTCTTTTCTTTTTTCATGAACTTTACGTAGGTCTACAGTTTTAATGTTGGACTCATGCACTAGGAATATCATATCAGCAGAATTGTGCCACTGAATCAAAGGGAACTCTTTTTTTTTTAGGTACGCATGATCGATGTAACTTCCTTGATGGTGTGTTGGCTGTTTGCCCATGTGTATTTCGGGGTATAGGTATGTTTAGTCTCAATTTTCTTTCTTAAAAGCTGCATAAGGGGTATATTTTTTCTGATCTCAAATTTTGTCTAAGCATTAATCTTTTTTCTCATTCATGAATTATCTGCTGAGAGTCTAGTTAATTAATTTATTTAATTAAAGCTATATAGTAACATATAGTGAAATTATTTCCTTGTGTGAGACCTAAAGAAAATCAGGTTACTCATTTTTATGACAATTTCTTTGATTTCAGGAGTAGCCTCCCCTTTTAAAGATCCAAAATGGTGATTTTACAGTGCGGCATGCAGTCTGTCATCAACGAAGAGTTTTGACACCTGTAATACCCATATTTCTACCATTCACCTCTGTAACCTTTGTTGAGTTCATCAGACTGGTAAGAAAAACAATATTGTTAATTGAAATAATTTTATCAAGATAAATAAAATAATTAATGAAAAAAAAATTACATGAACAGACTCCCTCATATAAGAAAATGTCACATTTTACACATTGCAATTATACATCATTTACATTATCCACATTTTCCCCATTTACACATGCAGTTGAATAGATTTAGTGCTTAATAATACATAGCAACAATTATTACATGAATCCTAAGACAATTCACAAAATACATGAATGCATTAAACTGTGAAATACAGATTTCGTACATTTAATTAAAATGCACAACATCAGTACCCCCCCCCCCCTTCACAATCTAAAAACTTTCTTTTTAATTCAAAGTCACTAGGCAACACTAAAGATTTCCACTTATTGCTTTTCAGTCCAAGACAGGAAGTTGAGGAATAAAGTTGACAGGACATCCTGAACTGTCCTCGCTACCAGCTTATGAGGGAACCAGCTGCAGTGGACAAAGTACGTTACATCATAGAATAATAGGTAAGTCTCCGGAGTAGTGTTTGTAGCAATTCTCGTACTTGGTCCTGCATCGAAGATTCAGGACTATTGATATTTATCTCTGCATGGTTTGGTTCTTCCCAGAAACATGTTACTGGTGGTGGTCCCTATATTCTTCTGGCTTTTGTGGTGAGGAATGTTTCATTTCTAGCTCTTTTCTGATCACATTTTGTCTATCTAGCTGTTTGTCTGTCTGTCTGTCCATCTGTCTGTCTGTAAACTTTTCATATTTTCGACTTCTTCTCTAGAACCCATTGACCAATTTCAACCAAACTTGCCACAAAGCATCCTTGGGTGAAGGGGATTCAAGTTTGTTCAAATAAAGGGCCACACCCTCATTCAAGGGGAGATAATTGGGAATTAATGAAAATTTGATGGTATGTTTTAAAAATCTTGTTTTCAAGAACCACTGTGCTAGGAAAAATGAAACTTATGGAGAAACATTCTCAGGTAGTGTAGATTTAAATTTGTGCAAATCATGACCCCCGGGGGTAGGGCGGAGCCACAATGGCTGACCAAAGTTTAACATAAAAATATATAGGAAAATTCTTTAAAAATCTTCTTCTCAAGAATGACAAAGCCATAATTGATCCTATTTATATGGAAGCATCCTCAGGTAGTGTCAATTCAAGTTTGTTCAAATCATAACCCCCGGGGTAGGGCGGGGCCACAATGGAAGATCAAAGTTTTACATAGAAATATAAAGGAAAAATCTTTAAAAATCTTCTTCTCAAGAACAGCAAAACCCTGATTGATCATATTTATATGGAAGCATCCTTAGGTAGTGTAGATTCAAGTTTGTTCAAGTCATGTTCCCCGGGGGTAGGACGGGGCCACAAAGGATGATCAAATTTTATATAGAAATATATAGGAAAATTCTTTAAAAATAACCTTCTCAAGAAAAGCAAAGCCATGATTGGTCAAGGGACTACTTTTGGATTTAAACTTTTCAATAAAAAACCAATTTTTACTTTTTCCTAGCCACAGTGCTCAGGTGAGCGATGTGGCCCATGGGCCTCTTGGTTTTTTTTTTTTTTTTTTTTAAAAATGATCAATCATTAAATATAAATAAATCAGTTGTTAAAAAATTTGCTTCATATTTGAAGTGCTTTAAACCGACCCTTTGATGAAAGTGACCAGTGTTTTTTGCACCTTGGAAGGTTTATTGGTAAAATATAAGAAGGAAGTTATGATTTTGGTGTCACTATTGTTGTTATTTAAGTTTGATTTGATTTTTATATTACGAGTATTATGAAACTGTTATTTTGTTACTGAACGATGGTTAATTTTAATTGTGAACAAATGTACAAAGATGAGGAGTATAATATAGTTGGCTATGTATATTGCCCAATTTTTGAACATATTATGTAATAACTAGTGGGTATTGTTTTTTTAACAAAAAACACATGTCTCCCCTTCTTTAACAACATTAACAAATGCAGTTTTACTATGAAGGTGAAAAAGAATAATGCAGTGCATCTTTCAAGTCTTTTATAGGATCTAAAGTTATTGTCTGGTCTTGCTTTTTTCTTTTGCTTCTTAAATGAAGAAAATGGTCAAGGTAAAAAAAATTGATGTAGTGTATTTAAGCTTAAAGTTGTCTTTACTTGTTCCAAATAACAATCCTAATGTCAAGAAAGGTATCAAGTTATCAATTCAAATATATTTCATATGAATGTTTGACCTTGACCTAATAATAATTGGATCAAGGTCAAAAATTTTCATCACATAATCTCTCCATCTTAGTGTCCTCTGCATGTTACAAGTTTGAAGTCTAAATGTCAAAAGATTCTCAAGTTATGTTCAAAACATGTTTTTTTTCTCTATTTGACCTTGGGTCAAGGTCAAAGTCCTTGTGCACTAGATCTTGTTTTTAATGTCTTCTTTCTATGTTACATGTTTGAAGTCCTAATATCATAGGGTACTCAAGCTATGACCTAAAATCTATTTAGATGTGAAAATTTGACCTTGACCTAATAATATTGGATCAAGGTCATATAATATGATCACATAAACTTTCTCCAATGTGTCCTCTGCATGTTCCCAGTTTGAATTCTAAATCTCAAAGATATCTCAAGTAGTGGTCAAATCATGTTTTTCTATATTTGACCTTGAACAAAAAAAGGGTCAAGGTCAAAGTTCTTGTGCACTGCATCATGTATTTAATGTCTCCCTTCTATGTTTTAAGTTTGAAGTCTTAATATCAAATGGCATTCAAGCTATGGCCTAAACTCTATTTTGTTGTGAAAGTTTGACCTTGACCCTATAAACATTGGATCAAGGTCAAAAATTTTGATCACATACACCTTTCTCCTATGTATCTTCTGCATATTCCAAGTTTGAAGTCTAAATGTCAAAGGTATTTAAAGTTATGTTAAAATCATGTTTTTTCTCTATTTGACCTTGAACATAGAAAGGGGTCAAGGTCAAAGTTTAGGTGCACTACATCTTGTATTTAATGTCTTCTTTCTATATTTTAAGTTTGAAGTCCTAATATTAAAGGGTACTCAAGCTAT